ACTTTTGTGAATATATAGCTCTGAAATATTAATTTCGGCCGTATGAAATCAAATTTATTACAAATTTACAAAGTATGAAATCCATTGTTTAGTTTTGAAGTAGATTATGCACTATATTTAAATAATCTCAAATATCTCATAATTAGCTAGATAGATTTTTTCGAAAATCCCCACAAATGGAGGCATCCAGTATATAATTATGTGGTACGAAGCATTTTAGTGTTGAACGCTCTGCAAGGCTAAATTTATTTTCTAAACGAAAACAAATATTTCATCATAATCACGTATTATGACGTCCGATCTCACTAAAAATTGCATCAAATATTAATTCAATCTTTATGTGACTTATGTGCAAAAAAGATTTGCAATCGGATAAAAGACGTTTATGCACTAGCGTTCCAAAAGTGGAAGGTAGCGGTCAAGCGTGAGGGGGTCGAGCCACCTTAAATACTTTCATCCCGGAAGAACACCTTCATATCTTCGCGCCACCGTGTAATTATACTCCTTATAGCTAGCCCTACGGCCTAGGACGATGAAGAAGCGTATATTCTTTTACAGATAATGTACATATGTAAATAATAAAAGTTAACTTTATGTACTTACTGGTGTAGCAAAGTAGCCGACTGTGACTGGCTTGTTTCTCTCTCCAGTGAATAGATCATAAGGTCCTCGTTCGCTTACAACTCGTGCTGCTAGTTCATCGGTAAAACTATTCATTTCATATTGGCCTGGGCAAAGGTGACTACCCTGGAGAGAACAAAATGAGTGTAGATATGAGTACTAGAATCGAGAGTGATCTGGCGTTATAACACTCGCTTCTCATCCCTGGGATCTCGGGTGCGATTCCTGGAGTAGGAGAGTTTTTTCTCCGGATTTTCCGGTTTTCTCCCTCCAAAAACAAGCTTTACGTAATTCTAATTCGATATATGGGTCAGCCGTGTCCTGACTTAGTTTAGCCCAGAGGTTGTTTCAGAGTTTGATCTTCATTTGAGTTAGCTATGCCTGACTTATAAGAACAAGCGTAATAAGTAAATTACGAGCCTTGTATGAAACGACACGGCTTACCGCCTCATCTATTATGCCCTGACTTAGATCAGTCCAGAGGTTGTTTTAAGCTTAAGACACACGGTGCAACATTGCACGCAACACTGCACGCAACAGGACTGTTGCAGCGTGTCTACCCCTGAAACTTGTTGTACGCAAAATTGCATGCAAGAAATCTGAAGTTGAATCGCTCTCTACTCTTGCAACATTGCGCGCAACAAATTTCATCGYGTGAACATGGCTGCAACATTTTGAAAATTCTAGCCAATCAGCTTTCACCAAATTTACAACCGCTGACTAAATATCTTAACATAGCAGGCTGACACAAGCGATGTTGTGGCAACGTGTGTCACCCCGGTTCAAATTTGTTGCGTGCAATGTTGCGTGAAATGTTGCGTGAAATGTTGCGTGTAATGTTGCTCTGTGTGTCTGGACCAAGGTTCGATCTGAGAGTTAGCTGTGTCCTGTTAAACGCATAGGTTGTTTCATGTTCAATTAGTGAGTTAGCCGTGCACTCGGGTAGATCATTCCAGAGGTTGTTTAAGGTTATCGATAACATCAGTTTGATATGAAAATACAAGTGTACTAACCACTTCCGGTAACTGGCGTGTGTTAGATTTTCCTGAATCCATCATTCCAACGTTGCTTGCAGAAAGAGTTTGCTTGTCTTCGATGACAGCGCTTGGTATGYCTCCCTTGCCGTACGTTCCAGGACCAGGAACGCCATTCTGAAGTAGACAAAAAACCCGCTGTTACCAAGAGGGTATTAGACAGATTTGGAAAAGACGAGCCGTTGACTTTTTTTGCGCTTGGCGTAAACGTTCAAACTGGTCTTTCTGACACAAACGTGGCGGGAAAATTTTACTTCCGGTATAATAATGAATATTCTCAGTCATCCAGTTGGTAAATATGTAGAAGAAAGTTTGAATCACGTACTGTTGGTTTTCTTCATTCAGTTCAATGAAACGTCAACATATTTTTGTTTCAAGTTATATTCAGTACGTGATTCAAACTTTCTTCCATTTGCTTCCTGTGCATAGCACACGCGTCAAGCCACTCAAAAGAGCGGGAAAAGCTTATAGGAAAGAGCGGGAAACCTAGACTAGTCAGAAATAAATCACGTGTTTACGTTACATTTTAATTGGGAATAAATATTCTGTATTATTAATGAATTTTATTATTTTAAAGACATTATTATGTTACTTACGTTAGCAACATCTTCAAATCGTGCAGCTCTCGTCTCACAGAATCCCCGTGTACTACCGGGTTTTTCTGACCCATGTTCTATGAAGTCTTTGATGTTATATGTCCCTGGACCAAGCAGCCGTTTCTGGTAAAAAAAAAACAGAAACAGGACAAACAGAATTAAAACTTGGTCTTTTATTATGTACGACAATCATACGCTTTTGGCTTGTATTGTAAACACTAAATAGACCCCTTGTATTACGTCGGAATTCGGGCTCAATTTGGAGGATATAACAATAGGTTTCCAATTCTCATGAGATTGTAATTCTTTTGTTTTGTCCTACGAATTGAGCTGCAGGGGTCTATGCATGTCACATTACTAACTCTATATTAACCACGCAAATTGCGCTCGCTCTGATTGGTAGAAAACAGACGAAATAAAAACGAGGGCGCGTGCTGTGTGCGGTTATAAAGCACGCGAGGATTGGCAGAACACGCCAATCTGTGTCACACCCGTGTTCGTCCTGTGAGCTTTTCACAGTCATACGAAAACTGCTCTAACGGAACACAGAACAGCAGGCTGTTTAATTTGTTTAAAAATTTCAAATAATATAAAAAAAGCGATTATTTTGGATAAGAATGACAAAAAATAAATTGCACACGCGTGCAGTGTGTTCTTATATAGCCTGCTCAACCAACCAATCAAAAAGTCAGGATTGCTTTTCTTTATTACAAACCTGTAGCTGTTTCTTTTTCCACTGTTCCTTATAAAGTAAGTGTGGGATTCTCGCCATCTTTGAAGTTTCGTACGCCCTTTCCCAACCTTGTTCAAGAACAAAAACGTGCAGTGAACACTTGGCACTTGGTAATAGATTTTCTCACGGAGGAAAAAAAAACAAAAAAACAAAAGGAAAAAAAAGAGTGTCGGTAATACTGAGGGGGGCCCAATAGTCCCTTTCAGGATTCCCTGCGCCATCTTGAAAGGTAGCCGTGTCTTTGCATCGAAGCGAACGAACGGTGAGCTTGCAATGATAGAGACCTTTTTTAAACACCTTGGACAATTATTCACATGTAAGAAGAATATCAATTATTCATATGTAAGAATATATATATATAAAATAAGAAGATCCAGGGACTGCAGAGCACTCTAAARAAGTAGGGGTGGGCTAATATTCAAAAATATAAAAAACTAATACCTTTACCGACACAGTCCCTGAGATCACCCTCCCCACCCCAGTGTTCTTCAAGACTTTGTTACCTGGTCCAGCAGCTCTTTCATGGACACTCTTGGAACTAAATCCACCAACATCAATGTTATATGATCCTGGTCCTAGCTTACATCTCTAAAAGTTATATTGAAGATTGCAGAATTACTTTTTGATTTTAATAAAAGACCTTGATGGTATTTGTTGCAGGGGGGTGAGGTGAGTATGAGGAGAGTAACCGCCAGCTTTTTTCTTTATGGAATTTCATGAATTGGTGGAAGAGGCAGTGGTCCCTTCTTCTAGGCTGAAACATTATGGATAGCATTAACCCCTGAAGTTACATATACAGGTAGCCCAAGCATAGAGTTAGTAGGCTGTCATGTCATCCATTTTTAAGAGGTATAGGATTTTTTAGAATTAAAATAAAAAARTCTTGAAAAATAAACCTTAACTTGGAAAAGACCCAGATGTTGTAGCCTGCTATGTTTGTGTGATTTACATAATGTTCTATTTATAAGGGAATGATCATTTATTATGTCCTGGGGGGCAGGTGAATTTGCAGGGGGGGGGGGGTACCCCTTTCAAAATGAGTGGGGGACAGCATTAGGCATTACTTTGTCACAAATTCAGCATTGAATATGCAATTTGCCAAGTTTAACTTCTTGAAAGAATGTCTGGGATTCTCACAACTACACTGAATTACAGAAACATATCTACTTTAACTACTTACATAGTCCTCCATGCTTCTTTTGTCATACCCAATTTGAGTAAAACTTCCTGGAGTCTTGCTTTTGGGGTGGATTGAAGAAACATTAAACCTACAAGAAAGCAAAAAAAACCAATATAAACTCATCATAAATTGAACTTCAAAAAAACTTTAAAAATGTTAAAAATTTCATATGTTTGTTTCAAAGTATTTAAAACCTGCGCCAGCGAGCCCGTTGTGCCCGCGGACATTTGTGCCTGTCATGCGCGCGCGCCCGCGCCAGTGACGCCTGTTCATTACTGTTGTTATTGGTCGGCCATCTTGCGACTACGTTTCATTATTAAAGCTTGTTCATTCGTTTACGTCGTTCGTCGTGTTTACTGGCGCTGCTTGTAAAATATGCAGACCACATATTTTGGGTCAGTGTAGGCCTCTAGAACTGTGTATAAATAGACATAATTTATTCCAGTTTCTTAAAGACATTAAGGGTGTTTATGTCATTGATCTTAGCCCTGTCCGTTGTTTGTGCTGATTTTTCTAAATGAGGTTTTGTTTGAAGTGTTAATAACTTGAGGCATGATATTCTACCCGCAAAAATATATCAGTGCCTTTTTATTAATCACTTTATCTTTTTAAACCACTGGATCATAGGGGCCAGTGATTGGGGAAAGTAAAGGGGGAGGGGGTGGAAGGAGTGAGTCTTGAGTTGGGCTATCTTGGGTTTTACAACTACCTCTATTTAAATCCAAAATATATCTTCCACAAAATGGAGGGGAAGCTTCAACCCCTCCTTATAAAAACAACATCCTCCATGCTTTGTTTCCTCCCAAAATGCTCTTTTCTTTCCCAAATCCCCACCCCTCCCCCCCAAAGGCATCCTGCATGCTGCTTCCCCCCAAAAAACATCATTGCCCTACCGTTTCTACCCCTGAAAATCGACTCTAAAAACAGTAATGTCATCCTTCCATCTACCTCCCCAAAAATTCCTCTTTGTACTACCTCAGCCTCCCTTCCCCCAAAACAACTTTGTCAAACCTCCTCCCCTCCCCATACATTTTTCTTCCTATCTTTTCCTCATCCTCATTCCCCATCAACGCATAAAGCTATGCACATAGGCTAATCTCTTAAAAACATTTATCTAGTACTGAAATATTGACAATCCTAACAATGTCAATAATAACAGATTTTTTTTCTCAAATTTCTTTACCTTTCGAAAATTTTTTTATGATATTGAGAGAGCATTTGAATTTTGTTGTTTATCTTACCCCATTAATGGCGTTACGTAAACAGTCATTTCAAATGCGTTAATGACATTTTATATCCGGAACTACAAAAATGGCTTTGAAATTCTTTATCTTTCTAATATTTCTAAACAAAAGGCTCAAATCCATGCTAATCAATTGTTGTGCAAATGATGGTTTTTGTCTTGTATTCTTAAATCAAAACCACGCTGGTGATAGAACCTAGAATCTTTTATTTGGAAAAGGAGAATTTTTTAGGCCTTAAATAAAATAATCTTTTTAGTAAGCCGTAATATTTGCGGTAAAATAATTCTGTAACACAATCTTTATTCTATAAACATGACACAATCGCTAAGGGAGTTTTTCTCTTTACTAAAAATCATCTTAAATTCTTTTTTTTTTTTAACTAAAATCTAAATCTACAGAGGTTAGCTAAATGTCTATTTATTGTGATGAAAATCGGTTTTAATTTTTGCGACCGGTCACGCGTCGTTGTTACGGAATGCGCTACTCGGCAACGCGTAGAAGAGCTGTCAAACATGATCACAAAACATAAAATATCTTTAATCATTCCTCTTAGGAATTAATAATCTCATAAGTGATACCAAGAGAAATGATATTCAATTGATTAGGAATGAGTGAGCATTAAAGAGTGGGAGAGAAAACTCACACAGGGTTGAGATATTACAATACGGTAAGCTATGAAGTCAAAGCGTTGTACAAAAGCCAAAAGTCCTATCTTACCTTGTGGTTTGCACCCCAAAAGGAGCCCCAGAGAACTTCTTCTGAGTCATCTCGAGGTAATTTCAACCTCCAAAGATTACTACTTTAGAGTAATATCATTATTATATTACCAATATTGGCAGGCGTGAAGCTTCATTGAAACTTATAGTTGTCAGGCTTCTCTATCCCTTGTTACCTAGCAACGCAATAAGACCGTGGAAGAATAAGCAGGAGGGACTTTATTTACAAACAATTTCTTATCGACAAACAAATATTGTCCCTAAAATAATATTAAATTCATTAGAAATTTTAACTTTTCTAAGGCGTTTTCGATAGTAAAAATGTTAATTTGATGTTTTTTAAAATTGCAATTCTAGCTTTTTGGTATAAAAAAAAAGTTGACTAAGATTTCACGCCCAGGACCTATGTTATATGGCCCCAGGGAGCGTTACTGCTCAGAACAACGATCAAAAAATATTAAATTCCAAATTTCCAAAAAGTCATTTGATAAAATAAGTATTATTTTTAAATACGTAATGATTAATTTTGATATTTTTTTAATCAATGTTTTTTATTATTTAAAAAATTGACTCTTAAGAATTCACGTATAGCACCTATAGTATATAGACCCTGAAGGGACGTTATATCAGAACAACAATCAAAATGGCGGCTGATGCTTCGGCTTTCAACAAAAAAGCAAAATCGCCTTCAAAAGCCGGCCACCAGTTTAGTTTTCTTCGCCAAAAGGCTCCAGAAGATAAAGAAGGAGACGATGAAGATGATGATGATTTGTTTGACAGTGAAAAACTTAAGACTCGCTTGATGTCGGCCTGGAATAACATGAGATATGGTAAAAATATGCTCTCAATTTTGCTTCCTTGGTCTCCTTCCTTTAAGCTTAAATATTTATTCATCTACTTTACTCTCAAATCCTTATGTCTTAAACATGGGTAACTCTTTCCTTTGATTTTAAAATAATGAATATAACTTTTTCCATTTTTGTGAAAGATTTAAGCTTACATAGACTTCTGAATTTTAGTATTTTGGATTACGCTTCAACATGTAAATATTTGATTCCTTGTTGTAATAATTAAAATATCTTCCAAGCGTAAATAGATATAGGTGTGTACAATCGAAAGTTACTTTTTTGCCTTTTCCTCATTCAACTTTCACAGTTCTATTAAAAAAGGATTATTCCTCATTTATATAACTTAAATGGCTAATAACACAGATTTATAGAAAATAATCAAATCAAATTTTCTTGAGAAAATCTGCGATTTCTTGTCTTTTCATGTTGGCCTTGTATTCAAAGATAATTTTGAAATGGGACAATTTGGACTCATTTGTTAATTGCATTTTAAAAATCATTTTATTATTATTTTGATTTGTAGGTCTTTCCATTCCATCGAAATCAACATTCAATGAAGATTCGCCAATTTGGCTTCTTGGACGTTGTTATCATGCAAAGAACTATGGTTAGTGAGGTTTTTGTGTGTGTAATAACGGACCAGGGGGGGGGGATTGGGGGTGGAGGAGAAAATGTTTTTGATCATGCAAAAAATTTTCCAGGCCCCAAACTAATAGCATTAATTTTTTTCAGGTACCCTCCTTCAATTGTTATAAAATCCTCCCAATCCTCCTTTTGACTTTTCAAGG